TTTGGTAGAGAAGATCGGACAGATTTCGCCAAGGCAAGCTGGGCAGTCGCCTATTGCTCCTATTCCAGATAACCCACTGTACCCTGTCTGAAAGGAAGTAACGCTAGAGTAGACTCGCGAAAAGTGTATAAGACACTTTTAAGATCAACTAAATAGCTAAGCCCAAGGGAAGTCGTTCGGGGAGGCCCTCCCTAATTCCACAAGGGTGAGAAGAGAAAAACACACGATAACGAAACGTTGAATCATGTAGAACTCGTAGGGTAAATGCAAAGCAAATTAGGAAGAATATGCAGTAAGCTAAGCGAAGAGGTAAGCAAGAGATATGTTAGACAAACTACAACTACTAAAATGTTAGTGAGTACTACTACTACTCTACTACTACAAAAAAAAAAAACATCTACAATCAACAATTACTTCAAATAAAATGAACAAAAACAAGCATGCAAAATAAAAATTAAATTTAAATAAAATAAACTACAAAAAAACATGCAAAATAAGACTAATTTGAATAAAATGAACTTGATGTATTCTACTACATAGGGCATGCAAGATTGAGACTATTTAAACTACGGGGTCATCTTTGTCTTCTCCAACGTCGATCTGCAACAGATACGGTGGTAACAGATTAATAAAGAGCAATTAAAATTAATTATATCAAGTATTCTCACCTTAATTAACTGTAGAATTTAACGTTTCAAAGTTTACAGGTGTGAAAAGCAAACCAGCTCCAGGAGGAATACGCTAGCAGAAAATTTGTTATTTCAGTGAAATTCAAATAAATATCCGGTTGCTCTCACTCATGGGTTGAAAATTAATTGCATGATGTTCCAAGGCGAAGACGAAACAGCAAATCAAGAATAAAGTCCACAAAAGACAACACCCATGTAGACATTGGCTGTTTCAGTATGATCAAACTGAACATTAATTCTCTCTCATTTGTTGAATAACCTGCAGAAATGGACAAAAAGACATATTAATTACACTATCAATTAAGAAATACATTTAAAATAACTATAAACGCACCAAAAAGCAAGTAAATTATTAAGTGACAAGCGTTATTTTCACACCATTTTGCATCACAACCATAGATCACGACATAGATAAATGTCAAATAACACGACGTCATTATGATGCAAACAATAGAAAGATTAAAAAGAAATTTCATATCAATGATAAATGTCAGCTTATGTGGAAAATAGATATTGTCAAATGAGAACGACGCCCAACAACCTCAATTTACATTGTTGACAATAGATAATTGTTAACAGAAATTCCATTAATAACGAGCAAATAATATTAATGAAGTCATGTATTCTCACCTTAATTAATTGTTGAAAGTCTACCAGTGTGATGAGCAAACCAAGTCTAGGAGGGATACCACTGCAGACATTTGTTGTTTTAGTGAAATTTAAATAAATCTCCAGTTGCTTGAACTCACCACTTGAAAACTGACTGCATAATGTTGCAAGGTGAAGACGAAAACGGCCAATTAACAACACAGTTCACAAAAGACCACACCCATGTAGACATTGGTTGTTTGAATATGATCAAACGGAACTTCACTCTCTCTCGTTTGCTGAGACAATCTGGGAAAACGGATAAACAAGCATATTAATTACATTATTAATTAAGGAAGGGGTTGAACGCACCTAAAAACACGCTTCAATAATTAAGTAAAATAGCTTAATTATAAAATAACGATAAATGTCAATTTTACATGACATGCATGTCAAATAATCATGGAGTACGGTAACGTCCATTTATGTTGTAGACAATAGATAATTTTGAAAAGCAAAATCACAGATACACGATGTTAACTTACGCTGTGAACAATAGATAACTGTTAAAGAGAAACCATAGATGACAGAGACGAAAGATTACTATGAAAATCAAAAAACAATAAAATAAACAGTAAATCAATTTCTTACCTAGAGGATTACGGTACGGTGTTCGAGTTTTATTTCCAAGCGTTAACAACTGAGAAATGCTTCGGACAATAGATGCTTATGAAAGGGTAAATAATACCACTGATGGAGAAATGAGTCACATAGCAGTCAGTCAGAACATCGCATGTGCAGCCTTATATTACATCAGCGTAAAGCGGACTACACGTGTTTTCAAGTCCAAGGGGAGGGAGCATTAAAGGGGCTCTACTTCTCCAAGTTTTAAATCCTTATTTTTTTCTCCTTGTTCATTTAATATGTTTAAATGGCATCCTGTTGAAACAATTTAATGTTAGCTTCATCTTAAATATTAAGAACTGAAGCTTTAATCAAATAATAAACTATGAAAACTATTACAACTCAGAAGAGTAAAAAAAATTATAGTAGTAATTATTGTCAAGCAAATGGAATACAAGATTTGGAAAATCACAAACCATTTTGGAAACATTTCCATTTCATAAATACAACTTCATATAATAGTTTCAAGATTTCTTACCTTCTCTAAAAATAGCCCTTTTCCAAACCCAAGAGAAAAAAGAGTGATTAGGACTGCGTTTCCACGTTTCCAGCCCTTTTGATTTAATCTCTCCATGTACATTTATTAAACTTTAAAGGAAACCAGTTGAAACAATTTAATATTAGTTAAATGTTCACTATTTTATCATTAGTTTATTATTAATGATAATTACCATTGTTGGCATCCTGTGCCAGCCAATTAAGAACCATTGTTGGAAATAATTTGTCCACCGAATCCAGGGATGTCATTTGAAAGCAAGTCTATATTATAGGAAAGAAGAAAATAAGTTTAAAACCTAATTTATAGAATAAGATAAAAAATATTATACAATATTTTGGTTATAAAACGGAAGTAAAACTTCACATTAACATTAAAAATCTACAATCATCGCCTAAACCAGTTTTCAGAATTCAAAAATTCTAAGTCATAATGATTGGACCTCAAATAAAATAAGAATCTATAAAACTCACGGCAGACCAGTTGACAGGCAAGATGGCAAGACGGACTCCCATGTTGGAGCATAAACGATGAACACTCTTCGAAGCAATTTACGCCAAAAAAATTGAAGCAACGGTAATTGATACTCATCAGCCACTAAAAGGAAACGCATTCCATTTAGTCAAATTAAAATTGATTAAGGATTAGGACTAAACACTTTTAGGCATTATTTTTATTTTTGGATAGCAAAAATTGCGAATTTACGATTTACGTGGTCTACTAGAACAACGCGGCGCGAAGGAACGATTAGATCATTACGACGATTACCCTTTGTGTATCTGTTATCTATGGATTAGACTATCCGGAAGAACTAGAGATGCAAATTCCTTCTATATCCATAGATAAGTTCTATACCTCTGATCGTAGATAATAAATTTTTAAGGTGCGTTCAATTATAATACTAATAGTTTAATTTGTAATATAATAGTAACTAAGCCACCTTTACAAATCAAAATTGCTAATCAAATTAGAGATTGTATTCATGTAAACAAGTTTTCCTTCTAGTTGTTTACCTTTGATTGATACCATTTTTTCAAAACTTGCTATGCTTGAAAGTAACTAATTATTCATTGTCACTTGAACTTTTGCATAAATTTATTCTCACTCCTGTGACATGTTCTATTGGCGCATCTCGTTGATGACTCTGTCTGTATGTTCCACACAATTAGACCATGTATGTGGGGTAGATGTCAATAGTGCCTCCTTCCACATACTCAAAAGTTTGTCGTCACCATAACTATCTCTGCCGATATTTTTATCATAATATGCTTTATCTTTAGCCTAAACCAATTCATTAAAGGAAACGAAAGTAGTTTNGATACCATTTTTTCAAAACTTGCTATGCTTGAAAGTAACTAATTATTCATTGTCACTTGAACTTTTGCATAAATTTATTCTCACTCCTGTGACATGTTCTATTGGCGCATCTCGTTGATGACTCTGTCTGTATGTTCCACACAATTAGACCATGTATGTGGGGTAGATGTCAATAGTGCCTCCTTCCACATACTCAAAAGTTTGTCGTCACCATAACTATCTCTGCCGATATTTTTATCATAATATGCTTTATCTTTAGCCTAAACCAATTCATTAAAGGAAACGAAAGTAGTTTCAAAAAAAATATTATAGAATATCTTCACCTGAAGAAGCCAATGTTTTGGTGAAACAATTGTTGTCAACTATTAATATATATGTATATATATATATTTTATTTGAAACTTTACTTTCGTTTCCTTTAATTGTTTATGGAGTTTCAACAAGTAAAGGCTTCTACCATTAATTATCTAAACCAATTCGATGGCATTAAACTGATAGTGATAAGGAGGTAATGGTGAAACTTCATGACCTTGCTTCCTTAAAAGTTTGTCTATTACATAAGTTACCTCTTCCTTATGACGTTTGGCAATGTGTAGCAGTTCTGATTTTGTTATCCCTTACTCGTAAGATTTAACCACTTAACTATGTTACTTTTATTCCAAAAGGAAGTAGGTTGCTTTTCCAGTTGCACGTTGAGGTAATCCATTACATTACAATTATGGAAGGTTCTTCTAAATTTGGAATGAGCGATTCTTTTTCCCACTTTAAAAATAATTCACTGTTCATTTCTCCATGATAGTCTAAACAGTTTGATTTAGATGCCAACAATAAACTGCAGTCAATTATAAAGCTGTCCCTGGTTCGTGCTATTATCTTGCAATGATTTTCGTGAATTGTCCTTTGCATATATCCAAATTTCGTCTAAGAAAAAAACTGAGCTGAGGTGGGAAGATACTCTGTTTGCACGATATTCAAAATAAGTTAAAAGACGCGATTTTTATAATCAGTCAGACCTATTGCAATAAATTCTCTATATACTGAGGAAGTTAAAAAAAATGTTTATATGAATAATAACGTATTTGCTAATTAAATAATTAAAAAAAAATCCTAGGTACTTGTTAAAAATATTTGCTTAAAAGTACTTAAATGCAAATACAAATAGGTACCTGGCTTGTAATTTTCTATGGGGAGCTGGTTTGCTTTTCACACCTGTAAACTTTGAAACGTTAAATTCTACAGTTAATTAAGGTGAGAATACATGACTTCATTAATATTATTTGCTCGTTATTAATGGAATTTCTGTTAACAATTATCTATTGTCAACAATGTAAATTGAGGTTGTTGGGCGTCGTTCTCATTTGACAATATCTATTTTCCACATAAGCTGACATTTATCATTGATATGAAATTTCTTTTTAATCTTTCTATTGTTTGCATCATAATGACGTCGTGTTATTTGACATTTATCTATGTCGTGATCTATGGTTGTGATGCNTATTATTATAACAACTATCGGAACAGTTTATATATATATTCGAGCGAGTTGAATTTGTTGATAAATCGTTTACGGATAAAAAAATTATGAATAATATTATTTGCAAAATCACAAGTGCAGACACATTCACGAATTTGTATGCACGGACGAGGTTAAGAATTTTGAGGTGGCATCATCATCATAAGGCCGTTAGTCCATCAAGCCAATCAGGAAAATCTGTTTCACCATAAAAAATTAATTCCAAAGTGCCTAACACTTCACACCATTGTACGTATGAATGAGGGTTCCTCCGTCTCGTAAGCTTTTTTAATTAATTCATTTCGGCGCCAAAGCTCGCATTGGTTCAGTAGCACCCGCTCACTAGTATGACGGATATGCTTTAATTTCGTGTTTTCCGGGTGTTTAGCTACAGCCACTGCTACATCCTGACCTTACCATGACCTTACGACCACCGAATAATGATATTTAAATATGCTCATCATCATCATAAGGTCGTCAGTCCTAAGACTGGTTAGACACGTACCTCCCCTCTTTCCAATTCCGAGCTACTCTTCGCATTTCTCTAAAGTTAGAACATCCCACATTTTTAACTATTTGCGAACAGTAATCTAATCTAGATCTACCTCTACCCCTCCTAACTCCTGTTTCTGCCTCTACTATGTCTCTGACTAGATCTTCATGCCTGAGAAGGTGTCCTACCAAACTATCTCGCCTATTTTTTAATGACTTCCATAAAGTCCTCTGTTCTGCTATTCTTTCAAATACCTCTTCATTTGTAACCTTCTCTATCTATTTCTATCATTCGCCTGTAACACCACATTTCGAACGCTTCTGACTTTTTCTATGTTTCGCACCCGTACAGCGCCGCGCTCCAAACATACGCCTTTAAAAATCCTTTTCGAATTTCTAAATTAACCGTTTGCAAGCATAGAGTTGACTTACGGACCTATTACTTCCAAATTGCTATTAAGATTATGAATTAATTAGTAATAAAACTTACTAAAATGAAGCAAAAAAACATTTCGTATTATTTTCTGTTATATTCCTATTTTTTTTTACACCAGTACATGGTATTTATCAAAGGTAGCATTGCCTCAGTATATTTTTTGACATACTTTACATTTCAACAGAAAATTTTTTTGAAAGGAAAACATGGGAAAAACCACAAACATAGACTACGAAGCATTATACAGATGGATCGATGAATTCCCAATATCGCGACACAAAAGAAACATTAGTAGGGATTTCTCGGATGCAAGTAAGTTTATGCAGATCATTTTACTAATGCAATCAAATTTTGATAAAGTTTTCACCATCATCTATACTAATATTATAAAGTTGAAGAGTTTGTTTGTTTATTTGCTTGAACGGGCTAATATCAGGAACTACTAGTCCGATTTGAAAAATTATTTCAGTGTTAGATAGCCCATTTATCGAGGAAGGCTATAGGCCAGGGATGGCGAACCAATCTTTTTTGATAGAAATTTAAAAGTCCTTGAGTGGTTAAATTTTAATGAATTAGAAATGGAATTCGTTGAATTTCAGTCAAATACCATATGGATGTGGCGAAATAACTCTTTTTGTTTTTTCTGTGTGTAAATAGTTTTTCTAATTTTATTTCATTTCAATTAATATTTCATTTCAAGTAATATTTTCTTTCAGTTTAAACTCTATTGTTCTTTCAATCACTTTTACCTGGAAATCCAACTTCAACTATACCTGCATGCACTCCCATACTAATATCTGGTTTTACCCTTAATTGCTTTCTCTTGAATTCTGTACTATCTAATTCTGTGTATTCCTAGAAACTAGTGTCTTCACCCTCTCTCTCACTACTTTTCCTTCTAGAACATTCTATCAAAATTACTAACAACCCTATCCTATAAATACTC